TCTCTCACTGCATCTTAATCAGTTTCGTTTAGGTAGAGGAGGGGAGGGAGGGGGGTGAGTCCTTTGTGAGTCAGACAGACTGCATCCTGTGCCAGGGTTGCCCAAGAACACACAGCTGAGACATAACACAGGTACCACCTGATGTGTCACGGAGGCAGCTCCTACCTGGAGATGGTCTGGCCTCGCTGTAGCCCCATGTCCTACTGTGGAAGCAGAAATCTTGGGGGGCACGTGCCCACCCCTCCCACTGCATTGCCTGTGACCTCTCCCTGCACCCCCATCTGTCACCGATACCCACACCCCCCTTTCCCACACATCCACTCTCTTCCTCACATGCTGAGGGCAGGGAGCTATGGTTGGGAGTAAGGGGCACCAGCAGGGCGGGGGCTGGTGGCTCTGGGGTGAGAGTGAGGGGCACTGGCAAGGCCAAAGGCCTGTGGGTCAGGAATGAGGGGAAACAGCATAAGCAAGGTCCTGGCATATCAGGGCTGTTCAATACCACAAAATAGAGGCAGGGACAACTGCAAGTGAACCTGCATCTTGTTGAGTGAAGTGGGCAGGGGAAGCTCTGATTTTCTATGATAAATAACCCAAAATACCAAAATATTTAGGTATTTAGAATATATTTTAGTGTAATGACTGAGGCACTGGTAAGCCTTTAAAGTTGCTTAAAATTGTAAATATATCAAGAAAACTTTGTGTTCAAATGATACATATAGTGGATACATACATATAGTGGATACATACTGATACATACAGTGATATATAGTGGCTCTTCATTTTAATTCCGGGAAAATGGAGATTTTGGGTTTTTAATCAGAGAATTTGCAGGGGGGTGGGGCTGGGCCAAAGAATTTGCAATTTTAATCACAGGAAAACCAGGATCCCTCCTTATGAGGCATGCTGCCCATAGCTACTTAGAAGCTGGACAGCCCTGCTCTAGGATCAGTTATACACTTCACTGGGACTTAAATAAATTGGATCCATTCAAGTTAAGGATCTTAATACTCAGAGTTTAGCACAAATTTGGGTTACAGAGAAAAGAAGATAGAACTCCTTAGAGCTTAAGGGAGTCCTTAGATATATGTAACTGACAGTGTTAAACAAGTCTCAATATTTTACTAGTTAGATTTGGGGATGAAATAGGAACTCTTCAGAACTCTACATAACTATATCACCATTTTATCCTGCTATACTTTTATATAATCTGACATATAACTATTCTACACCTTATATACTATGTTTAGTTTGACTTGCAAAGTGCACAGTGAGACAGGGGGGTCAAAATATTGCATAAGGGGGAAAAAAGGGGCAGTGGACATCCAGTTCATTCCAAGCAGGAATCTTGTAGAAAATCTAGCATGTCACCATATAAGAAATATGCAGAAAGGGGCTAAATCAAGGTTACACAGACAGCCTTAGTTGTGGTGTAGCTTAGTTGTTGAGTACTTAACTTTTTGTTTTTAATATTGTTCTGCTAGTACTACCTGAAACATGTACTTGAAAAGATAAATGCTATGAGGGGGAACCTCATTAGACTTCGTCAAATTTGCCATAAAGTTATATTTGACTTTTGAATTTGAATGTATTGCAGATTTGATCTGAATCTATTTAAGGTACTCATTTGTTATCAATTACCCAAATTTCTCGAATTGGTGGTTTTATATAATGAAAATATACCTTATCCTATCCTATTAAGGATGGCACTGGAATGATATGCACCAAAGCAAAATAAAGGGGGTGTTATTGATTGTTTAATCCCAACATAATTTCTTTCTGGGCAGAATGCCAAATGCCTGCTCCACCTAGCATGTAATCTCTCTACTTGTACCCTTTTAATTTGTTTTTAGTCACAGCATGCATTCTCCACAACTCCATATACATTCTAATTAAAATCTGACTTATCCTTTTAGTGAAGGCAAGACTCCTGCTGTTATTTGAATATGATGCAAATCTTGAGCAACTCAATTTATATTTCTGTAACTGTGGGCTGAATTTTGACCCATATCAATTAAAAACATGATCCTCATCATGCAAAAATTTAAGCATGTTCTTAGCTCCAAGTTATCCTTGAGTCATTGGGACAGCTTGCGTTCTTGTGTTATATTGTGACTGTAGGAGGTGACCTAAAACAGGCCCAGTCAGCTGATCTGATTATGAACCAGTTTGTTAAAGCCATAGGGCTTGTGTGCATGACACTTTAATGCGGGTTAAATGCTTTTGCACCGCTTTAATGGCATTGGTGTTTGCATGTGTCAGTGGCATACTGTGCATTAATTCCAGCTGTGGTAGCACATTCAGCAGCATAATGTGCCTTAAATGACTTTGGGGCGCAGCAAACTAAAACACCTCTGAGGAGTTTTAGTTTGCTGCCCTAGAGCCACGGAGTGAAGCACTGGGCTCCATGCGGCTCAGGGGCTCTGCAAGCAGCCCATGCTTGCAGCTTGGCAGCAACCTGGGAAGGCAGGCTCCACCAAAGGAAAAAAAAAAAAGCAGCGAGCTTGATCTTTTATTCCCACCCCGACTCCCCACCTTGGAGCCTTCCTGCCTGCATGAGCTGCATGGGGACCTGGTCCTTCTGTCCATGGCTGCGGTGACCCCCAGAACCACTTGAGCCAGGTGCCTGTGGGCGGGTGCCGCTGGGGGGGGGAGGCCACTGCTGCGGAGGGAAGCACTAGCCTCCCCTCACCCCCAGCCCAGGACCACTCTGCCTGTCAGCAGCTCACCCTCCCCTCCCCACCACCAGAGAAGCAGGTAAGACAAGGATGTACATGACATGGGGGTTTATTTTGCCCTAAATTGAAGTGGTGTTTTTAAAAACCCACCACTTCAATTTAGGGTGAAGTAAACCCCCACTTTGTCTACACATGCCCATAAAATCCAATCAGCTGAAGTGCTTAGTTTGGGAGAAACAATGCATGAAGGGTCCCTGCTTTCTGAGCCATGAAGTTTTTGTGGGGTTGACTCTGTTTTAGCTACAGTCCAATCATTCCCAAGCATTTGGGACTAAACTACAGCTGGCAACCATCAGAATTTCTCATGAGACACCCTTCTCTAACCCAGAAATGGAGGGTGGGAAGGAAGAAGGAGTGCTGCCTGCAGTTCAGATGCAGACCACTGACCATGGCCTTGTGGACCATCAGTGGTTTGTGGGCCACGGTTTAGGAACTCTTGCTATACTCCATCACCGTGGAAGACTGAGTGCAAACTTGCAAATATGGGTGTAAATTGACTCGGGTGGATAATCCTACTTCATTGAACTGGAATGCCACATGTATTTAAAGTGGCTGCTGGACTGCGCCCCCACAGGCAAATTGCACACGTTCCTTGTCAAAAGTTTGACTATAGATCATTTGTTAATCTTTAGGTTTCCTCAAAACACTGACATCACTGAGCTGTTTTCTTACTGGTTTGTACACATTTCTTTCAACTAAAAAAAAGCAGAGAAAACTTGTCCAGAGGTTATTTTCCGGTCATTGGATTATAGAACATCTTGGCTCCTATTATGAACACCTGTGAAAGCAGAGCTAAATAGTTTAAGGAAAACTATGCCCAAAGGCTGGGCACTTAGGACAGCACACCAAATCCTCTACTGCAATGGTGCTCAACCTTTTTGACCCCTGGGGCCAGAGGGTGGGTTCGGGGCCTGTCCACAGACAACATCGGACCTTGTATGCAAGTCAGGCCTGCACGGCCCTGGCTGGTACCCGTGCTTCCTTGCCTGCCTAAATTAGGTGCTGGGGCTCTGTCAGGGTTCAAATTACACTGCCGCTCTTGGGGGTGGGGGTCTGCAAAAATTTTGGCTGCAGTTGGGGCTGTGTGCACAGGTCCCCATCAGTACCACCGGCCTGGGGCCCTCAGCAGTGGCAGCCAAAAGCTGCTGCTGTCTGGGCTGCTTAGAAAGGTGTGGGGCAGGCCAGCGGCTGTGCGCCATGACACATGGGTGGATGAGGGTGCTGAACAGCCTGTGAAGAGGCTATGTGGGGGTGGTAGTTGTCTCTTATGGGGGTCTCAGCCCTCCTGAGCTGCCCCATAATCCAAACCCTGGGCTCTGTGGCATCTCGGGTGGCCATCATTGAGGGCATTCCGGTTTTCTGCTACTCTGCCCTGTATTCGTACGAAACACGATGCCTTTGTCCTCTATTTTTTGAAAAGTAGAGGACATAAAGGCGTCGGGTTTCGTATCAGTAGATGACAAGCAGACTGTCCTCGATGACGGCCACCGCAGGGGGTGCTGAAGGCCAGGGCCTGCAGGGCTCCTCAAGGCGCCGGGGGACCTGTGCGCTCCGGCGCCAGGGCTGGCTGTGGCCCGCGGGCCGGGGCGGGGGGGAGCGCCCCGTGCAGCGCTGCGACAAGGGGCTG